CTGACTGCCTGCCCTTAACTCCCAGTCTTTACGTTCTGTCACTTGTCATTGACTCATATAAATCCTCATTTTATTCATTAGTCTATTCTTTTTTATTTACTCATCTGTGGGATGTGGGCATTGCTGGCTGGGCCCAGCATTTATTGCCCCGTCCCTAGGTGATCTTCACAAGGTGGTGGTGAGCTGCCTTCTTGAACTGCTGCCGTAGGTTGACCCACAATGCCCTTAGGGAGGGAATTTCAGGATTTTGACCCAGTGACCATGAAGGAACAGCGATATATTTCCAAGTCAGGATGGTGAGTGGCTTGGAGGGGAATTTGCAGGGGGTGGTGTTCCCATCTATCTGCTGCATTTGTCCTTCTAGATGGAAATGGTCGTGGGTTTGGAAGGTGCTGCCTGAGGATCTTTGGTGAATTTCTGCAGTGCATCTTGTAGATGGTACACACTGCTGCTACTGAGCGTCGGTGGTGGAGGGAGTGGATGCTTGTGGATGCGGCGCCAATCAAGTGGGAGCTGCTTTATCCTGGATGGTGTCAAGCTTCTTGGGTGTTGTTGGGGCTGCACCCATCCAGGCAAGTGGGGAGTATTCCATCACCCTCCTGCCTTGTGCCTTGTAGATGGTGGACAGGCCTTTGGGGAGTCAGGAGGTGAGTTACTTGCCGCAGTATTCCTAGCTTCTGGCCTGCTCTTATAGCCACTGTGTTTATGTTGTGAGTCCAGTTGAGTTTCTGGTCAATGGTAAACCCCAGGATGTTGATAGTGGGGGATTCAGTGATGGTAACACCATTGAATGTCAAGGGGCAGTGGTTAGATTGTCTCTTTTCGGTGATGGTCATAGCCTGGCATTTGTGTGGCGCAAATGTCACTTGCCACTTGTCAGCTCAAGCCTGGATATTGTCCTGATCTTGTTGCATGTGAACACGGACTGCTTCAGTGTCTGAGGAGTCACGAATGGTGCTGAACATTGTGCAATTATCAGCGAACATCCCCACTTCTGACCTTATGATAGAGGGAAGGTCATTGATGAAGCAGCTGAAGATGGTTGGGCCGAGGACACTACCCTGAGGAACTCCTACAGAGATGTCCTGGAGCTGAGATGATTGACCTCCAACAACTACGACCATCTTCCTATGTGCCAGATATGACTCCAACCACCAGAGAGTTTGCCCCCTGATACCCATCGATTCCAGTTTCGCTGGGGCTCCTTGATGCCACACTCGGTCGAATGCAGCCTTGATATCAAGGGCTGTCACTCTCCCTTCACCTCTGGAATTCAGCTCTTTCGTCCATGTTTGAACCAAGGCTGTAATGAGGTCAGGAGCTGAGTGGCCCTGGCGGAACCCAAACTGGGCATCACTGAGCAGGTTATTGCTGAGCAGGTGCTGCTTGATAGCGCTGTTACTGACACCTTCCATCACTTTACTGATGATCGAGAGTAGACTGATGGGGCGGTAATTGGTCGGGTTGGATTTGTCCTGCTTTTTGTGTACAGGACATACTTGGGCAATATTCCACATTGTTGGGTAGATGCCAGTGTTGTAACTGTACTGGAACAGCTTGGCTAGGGGAGCGGTAAGTTCTGGAGCACAAGTCTTCAATACTATTGCTGGGATGTTGTCAGGGCCTCTAGCCTTCGTAATTGTGTACCTTATCGAAAATCTTTGAATAAATTATATTTGCTACTTTACCATTCTCCACTGTCTCTTTTACATCTGCAAAAGGTTCAATAGGGTTGGTTAAGCAAGCATTTTCCTTCTGAAGTTTGACTAGCTATGTGTTATGATATCTCTCATTTCTTGATTTCCCCTAATCTCTCCTTTGGTAGGAATTCCACTATCTTTCCGACCACTGATGATAAACTGACTGGTCTGTCATTCCTTGGGTACACTCTGTTCCCCTTCATTAATATAGGAATTGCAGAAACAATCTGAATGGTTATTCAATCCATTCCCCCCTTTTTTAAAGACAGTTGGAACTGCACTTACCTCATTCCTCATCTCATCAGTCGAAATCAATTCTATGGGTGTTCTCTCTCCCTGGTAAACACCAAAGCAAAATAATCATTTCATATTTCCGCCATTGCCTTATCATTTCCTGACATACTATCATGCCTATTTCTTAATGGTCCTTTTCCCATCACAGCCTTTCCTTTCTTCTTATGTGCCTGTTAAACTGTTTATTGTTTCTTTTATGCTCACTGATAATTTAATTCCATTACTTCTCTCTGCTTTCCTGAACTGCTTTTTGTTGCGTCTCTCCAAATCTCTTATTCTCTACAACCCAGCACTCTATGTCTGGCTCTTAATGTCTGTCTCTTTTCTAACCCTCAACTCTTCCCTTATGTCTCTAAAAAATTTATGGAGTTATACTCATATTTAGTTTGTTACTTTGTTACAAAACTTAGCACCCCCACGAACCCTGTTGAACATTACTGCAAATATTCCCCATCGTTTTCCGCTAATATAGTTGTCCGGGTCATTTTCTCAAGTTCTATTCTCAGACATTGCAAATCCTCTGTATCCAAGGGCCCAAACACAACTTCCAGGTGAAGCAGCACTTTACCTGCACTTCCCAGAATCTGGTCTACTGCATTCGCTGCTCACAATGTGGTCTCGGCTACATTGGGGAAATGAAGCGTAGACTGGGTGATCACTTCATAGAACATTACATACTGTCAACAAAAATGACTGAACTTCCAGTTGCCTGCCACTTTAACACACCACCCTGTTCCCTGGCCAACATCTCTGTCTCTGGCTTGCTGCGGTGTTCCAGCGAAGCTCAGCACAAGCTGCAGGAACAACACCTCATTTTCCACTTGGGGACCCTACAGCCCTCTGGACTCAATATCAAGTTCAATAACTTGAGAAATCAGAGTTAACGTTTCGGGTCCGGTGACCCTTCCTCACACCTGTCTGGACCCGAAATGTTAACTCTGATTTCTCTTCACAGATGCTGCCAGACCTGCTGAGCTTTTTCAGCAACTTCTGTTTTTGTTTCCCATTAACAGCTATTCACAATCCAAGCCAGATCATTATCCACTCTTTCGTCTGTTCAACTGTTCTTCTCTCTGTTGAGCTTTCTCCCCACCTATCATTTACTCGTTATCCCATTCAACCCCTCCCTATCTTCTGCATATAAACCAACATTTTCCTAGCTACCATCAGTTCTGAGGAAGGGTCACTCGACCTGAAATGTTAACTCTGATTTCTCTCCACAGATGCTGCCAGACCTGCTGAGCTTTTCCAGCAATTTCTGTTTTTGTTTCTAATTTACAGCATCTGCAGTTCTTTTGGTTTTTATTTATGGAAAATCGGCTTTCCCACAATCAACTCTTTTGATTTTTGCCACGTTACTTGACCTTCATCTTAAACCATATTGTATTATGGTCACTATTGCCTTGATAATCCCCAACTTATACTTCTCTTGACTGCTCTGTTTATTCTCCATTACCAGACCCAGACATAAATCTTCCCTTGTTGACAGTCTAGTAGCATTCTGTCAAACTGGACTGTTTATTTTGTGTATAATCAAAAGCTCCTATATTTCCACTAACTGAAATTCCAAAGATTTAAGTCAAGCTCTCTTGACTAAGAAACCAATTCTAACTAGCCACTGAGTTAAATTTTTACCACTGACCAAAACGGAAAGAAATTACAAGTGAATATTACAATTCAGTTAAAACCTGACTAGATTTTTAAAAGAGATCAGTCCTTAAAATTAATTGCTACAACATAAAGGGATAGTTGTGCACAAAACATAGAAAGCTAGCACACGGGGACAGCAGGGAATCAGGACGTCTAATGGAATGTTGGCCCTTATTTCAAAAGGGTTGGAGTATAAGAGTCGGGAAGTCTCACTGCGACTGTACAAGGTGCTGGGGAGACCACATCTGGAGGACTGTGAGCATTTGGTCCCCTTATTTAAGGGAAGATATCATTTCATTGGAGGCAGTTCAGAGAAGGTTCACTAGGATGATCCCTGGTTTGGGAGAGATTGTCTCATGAGCAAAGGCTAAGCAGGTTGGGACTCTATTCACTGGACTTTAGAAGAAGGAGGTGATCTCATTGAAACATATTGGATTCTTAAGGGGCTTGACAAGGTAAAAGCTGGGAGATGTTTCCCCTTATGGGAGAGTCTAGGAACAGAGGGTATCGTCTCAGAATAAAAGGGCACCAATTTCAGACTGAGATAAGGAGGAATTTCTTCTCTCAGAGGGTTGAGAGTCTTTGGAGCTCTTATTGCAGAGAGCTATGGTGCAGAGTCCCTGTGTATATTTAAGGCTGAGATGGATATGGCAATGGTTTTGAGGTCATCATTGGGTCAGCTTTTAATTCCATATTTTCTTGAATTTATGTTTCACCAGCTGCAATGGTGGAATGTGTACCACAGAAGATCAGCCTGGTGTTCTATATGACAACTCCAGAGACAGTTCCAGTGTGGCACCATTTCCCTTATATATTGAAACATATGACTTCTAAGTTATGGCTGATCAGAGTAAATTGTCCCTCCCACATCTATGATTCAGCACCCGTCTCTTCCCCACTCTCAAGATGCAGTTCCTTTATCTCTCTCACAAGGTCCAACTAACAACCCCATTGCTCACAGGGCTCCACATTTGGTCCTTTTTCATCTGCTGACATTCCTAGCCTCACCATCATTACAAATCAAATGCTCATATCGCCTCCACTACGGAACAAAACAAAACCTTGTGGGCCCAAGATTCCCTTTCCTTTCAAGTCTCCTAACTCTCCAGGCAGCCCAACGTCGATGAAAGCATACACAATGCATCCGAGACTGACAGGGGATCTACCATAACCTGCCTCCAAGCCCTGGACAAAATAGCCAGAAGTTAATGCATGTGCCGTCTTGAACCTCCAATCTCTATCATTACTGGATAGAGTTTTGTCTCCTTATGGAGAATTGTAAAGGACACAGGTTTAAGGTGAGAAGGGACAAGTTTAAAGGAGATGTGAAAGGAAATTTTTTTTTCACACAGAGGGTGATAGGAGTCTGGAACATGCTGCCAGAGAAGGTGGTAACAGACGCAATAGCAATGTTGAGGAGGCATTGAGACAGACACATGAACGGGCAGGGAAGAGAGGGATATGGACCATGTGCAGGCAGGTGGGATTAGTTTAGAATGGTATCCTGGTTGGCACAGACATGGTAGGCCGAAGGGCCTGTTCCTGTGCTGTACTGTTCTACGTTCTATGTACTTGTGTCAGAAGCAGTTCAGAGAACATTCACTTGACTGGGATGAAGGGGTTGTCTTATGAGAAAAAAAATTGAGCAGTTTGGCCCGATACTCATGACAGTTCAGAGGGAGAGGTGAACTTATTTCATCTAATATAAAAAGAATAAGCCATATAGGATATAATATATCTTATCTGAGAGGATTCTGATGGGACTTGACAAGATCGATACTAACAGGGGGCTAACAAAAAAAAAGGTCTCTCATTTAAGACAGTGTCGTGGAGACATTTCTTCCCTCAGAAAGTCTGTGAAATTCTCTTCTCCAGAAGGAGCTGAGTCACTG